GGCACAACCCTTACGTGTAGCATTTTTATCTGCCCCAAGATCTATACACTGCAAATGGCTGCCCACTGAGCCACAATGACCACAGGTTGACATGATACTACAGCACTTTTTAAAGTAGTGAAGCAGAAGCATGTAGGCAAGCATAAGACACAATCACTAGAATGAGTCCTTTCCATGCACTGAAACTTTCCACAATAAAATTATGCACTCTGGTGGGCCAGTTCCTTGCATGTTGTAAGTTACACATCTACACAAAGAAAGTTGCTGCTCATACTCAAGACATTGGAACAGCAGTACATGATACAAGGACCAAAAAAAAAAAAAGTGATGGAAGGTTCCCTGTTGCCCTATCATATGTTTAGCTCTTTAATGCAGACTAGGTAAGCAGAGGTTCTCCAATAAGAGCCAAAAATAAACACTAGGGACTCCCTAATACTAGCAGTTCAATTGTATTGTTCCGTAACTTCCTGAAGAATGGAGACTGTAAGAAAAATAGAGGTTTGTTCTGGTTGGACGTTTTTAAGTTATCTTTTGTAAGACCACGTAACATGATTTAGTTCTCAATGAATAACTGAATTACATAAATAAAACATTACATAAAAGACGTCACAGTGCAATTTATGTGAAGTGAATTTCACGAGGGCTGGTCTATTGTAGAAAATTCAACTTATTTCTTCCTGATCCTTTTATTCTAGCCAAACATATAAATTTATGTGAGTTCAAAAAAATCGATTACTGTTTCTCATAACTGAATTTATTCTTTTCCCTCCATGATCCATCAGGTAAAAACAAATGCAATAGAAAGAGCTAGCAGCACCTTGAACATAAAAGGCCTCCAGAATAGAATGAGATAAGTTAAATCCATCTTGCTGTGCACTGTAGCCAGAAGAGATAACCTTGATTTTTAATTTAAATCAAGTCATAGCAAAGAGTTCTGACTATACTTGTTATCTGCCATATAAATAAAATTATTATAAAATAGAATTGGACTCAGAAAGGTATCGTTTTGCTTGTTGCATTGCCTGTAAGCAAGTTGAACTCTGTGAAGGTTTATCACCTTTTGCCACCTTCTTCCTCCAGTCTTTCTTGGTAATGTAGCCATTTGACTGCAAAAACCTGGGGAGAAAGAGCTGAAAACAAATTATTAATTTTCCATATTGTTCCTTCTTTCCAGAGTTTTTCTGATTCCATTTCATTGCTGCTTTTCCTCTAGTTTATTTCCCTGTCAGCCCAAGGAAAAAGACATGCAGAGCTCGAGTTCATACTAGGGTGGCAGCATTTCACTGGCATAACAGCAGCTTATGGACAGGCAAAATAAGGAACTAAGTGCAAGTGCATGGATTTGAGCCAGAAGTAACTACTTGATCTCATAGCAGCATCTGGGATTTCCAAGTTTGGCCTCAGCTGGACTGTTGGTAGTGGCAAAGGAGCTTTATCAGCCACCAGATTTTCTCAGCGCAACAACAGTGCAAGAGAAAAATGAGCATCCTGGTCCTGTAGTGCACCTGCCTTCATGCCTTGCCTTGCTTTCCACTTCTGCTAAGAAAAGAGGGTGAACTGGTCACAGGGCACACACCAATGGGGTGAAAACGGTGTTCAGGTTTGGAAGACTAACAATGATTCCACATCTTCACCTACACTGCATCACGTTGGGCAGGCCAAACATGCACAGGCTGCCTCAAAATGAATATAAAATACATTTCTTTGATGCAGTGCCTATAATGAGAGACATCAAAGTGAACCTACTGCTTGCTTTCAGCCAGTGCTGCTGTTTGTCTACCACCCTGGGCCAGTGCATACTAGAGGCAGCTGGCAGATCCAAACTCTATTAACTAGCTGCAGCTGTGCAAGCATGCAAAGAAAAACACAAGAGATCAAACAGCAGGATACAGCAGCAAGGGGGTGCACCTGCCAGCAGCAGACCAGTATGCCAGGCTGTATCTTCTGGAGGCCATCACACACGTGCACCCACTCCTCACACAGCTCAGCAGGGTGCAACTCACTTGCAGCTTCTGCTCCAATCAGCTAGAGGTGGTTCATGAGGTCACAGTTAGTGTATCTTTACAGCAGCAAAAAGAAAGCCCACCATGGGAGTTTCAGAGGAGAACTGCAATTTTGGTGCACTGATTCACCATCTCATTCACCTCTTTCTCCTTTGACTATAGGAAAAATTAGGGTGACAAAATATCCACCTTCACAGAACAAACAGACCTCATATTCTCTCTAAGTTGGTTTAGGAAGATATTTATTGTACAGGTGTGCTTTCTGCAGAAATACTGGTGTCACTTCAGTGGAGGCCCATAGAATCCTGCTAACTTCTACTTGAGGCAGAGACCAGCACAGGACAGCTTAGACCAGCTGGCATAAACTGGAATTCTGAACATTTTGCTATTTCCCTGCTGTCAGATTTTTTTTTTCTTTCGTCTTCCTGGCAACTCATCTCCTCTGGACTGCAGAGGTCTGAGCCTTTTATTATATTACTTTTATCAAAATGGGGTTTTTTTAGTTGGGCAAAGACAACTTGTTTTTTGAAATTTTTAATATTTGAAGCCTGAAAAAGTTAGAAATGGAGCTTAAGCATCAAGATTGAAAGTCTGATGCTTGAGGTCTTTCCAAATAACAGCATTCTTACTCTTATCATATAGACCTACTCTGTGGGATTTGTTAACCACAGATGGCAACGGTGTTAAATGCAGCTCCAAGTCAGATGAGAGACCCATGGATTGGTGGAGGTTTGATAATCACAGAATCACAGGATCATAGGGGTTGGAAGGGACCTCGAAAGATCATCTAGTCCAATCCCCCTGCCAGAGCAGGGTCACCCAGAGCACAACACACAGGAACGTGTCCAGGTGGGTTTGAATATCTCCAGCGAAGGAGACTCCACAGCCTCTCTGGGCAGCCTGTTCCAGGGCTCTGTCACTCTCACAGTAAAGAAGTTCTTCCTGATATTTATGTGGAACCTCCTATGTTCCAGTTTGCACCCATTGCCCCTTGTCCTATCACTGGACACCACTGAAAAATAATCATAAAGTAACATTTTGTTGGGGCCACAAGCCAGTAGGTAGCATGAGTCTCAAAACAAGTATGGACAGAGGACAGCAAGAGACTTCACCAGGTAGTCTCTCAGTTCAGTGCCAATTCTTGTCAGGATGGGTTTGGCAAATTCATTTAACCTCTTTTTCTTTCAGAGTGGATGATTACTTTCCAAAGTTGCATGCATACTATGACAGCTAATTAATTGTCACTGTTTCATGCTTTACATGTGTAATTAGTATAAAGAGGGCTGGAAGGGAGAAGTGCTGCACAGAAAATGAAGGTGAACAGAAACAGAATGCTAGAAAAACTCTAAATGTAGTAAGATAAAAAGAGTAAACAAACAATAAATACAGAAAGGAGTTTTGAATATCAATTGTATAAGGGATGTGTATGAAAGAAGAAAAAAAAAAAAAAAAGGTGTAGTACCTTCCAAAAGTAGAGGGGAGAAGGAAATTAAAAATTAGAAGCACTGAGAATGCTTCTATAATGGATTATAGAATAATGGATTTAAAGTATAAAGAGAAGAAAATTTTTAAAATTTAATAAAAGCTACCCAGCCTTTAAAGTAATTAATCTTTTCATTTATTTATACCTTTTTTTGATATTAGAGGAAAATGGTAGCATGCTTATACTGAGCTCACACAATGTTAACGTAGTACAGCTTAATTCCTGGATTATGCTGTTAAATAACTGATGAATCATCAGTATATAATTGAAACTTGGTTCTCTAAGCCTCACAACTGAGAACAGAAAACTGTCACAGTGATACCAGACTTTAGCAGAACTGATATTGTAGCTAATTAGAAGAATTTATAAAATAATCTAAAATCTGTAGCTGTAAAGACTGCTAGCAGAAGCACCTGGGCTCCATTTCCCCATGCAACAAAATAAAATAGGTTACCTATTATTTGAATCTCTCCTATATTAAAGTTACTTCTGGAGAAGATCAAAATATCTCTAGTTCCTCTGCAAAAAAAACCTAGATCTGCCCTGGACCTAATCTTGTTGGAGAGAGTCTGTTATTTGGACAGCAGGTTAGAAAAGGGTGTCACTCTGAAAGGTTAAGGCAGTCTTGAATTCATGTTGATATTTCATTCCCTTCAATATCCCTAAAATGAAGGACCATAAAACAAATCCTTACAACTTCAAGGCCAGGTTGGATGGGATATTGAGCAACCTGGTCTAGGGGAAGGTGCCCCTGCCCATGGCAGAGCAGTTGGAACTAGATGATATTTAAGGTTCCTTCTGACCCAAACCTTTCTATGATTCTATGATTCAATGGACCATAACTCATTGGTTCCATGGCATTATTTAACAGCATTAAGAACAAACAACTTCAATAATCTAATAATAATCTTTTTTATTCTTGTAAAGGAGGAACAGTAGGCAAACCAAAAAAGATCACTCTGCATCCACTGAAGAAAATAATTCCTTTTCTCCCATGAACATCTGTTTTATTTTCCAATATAGCAAAAGCACAGGTACTTCAAGTCTAAGCAAGGCAATTAACCTGGATTCAATCATCATCACAGTCACAGGATTATTGGTTTATTTATTTATTTTCAATTAGAGGACTCTGGAAGCACAGATCCTGCTGTGCAGAGCCATCACATTCTTTCATGAGAACAACCTGGTAGGAACAAAAAAATCTAAGGAAGAGCAAATAATTATTCAAATAAAGAAATTACAAAACACTACAATGGCTATTGAGCAACACTCATTTCATTCTTAAAAAATAAATAGAAGGCATCTTATCTTTAAGAAGACCCCACCCCTCCAGCTTCCTGATGCTTAGTCCTGCAAATTATTTGCCAGCAGCAAAAATTTTAAGTATCGTTGAGTATCAGTGCAGGGATCACAAGGTACAATTCCTCCACACACCCTAACGACCTCCACGACTGAGGTTAGGCTGATTTCATGGCCTCTTCTTCAGCCATGTTGGGTAGCCCCAGACTGGGAGTTCACTTCACCACGGCCTGGGCCTGGGCATAGGAAGAGGACTCAAAGTAGGACTCCAGCTGCCCACAGAGGTCCTCGAAGGTGGGCCGGCCACCTGCTTCTGCGTTCCAGCATTGCTGCATCAGCTCGTAGAATGGCGCTGGGCAGGTCTCTGGCTGAGGGAGTCTGTACCCCTTATCCAGCATCTGGATCACCTGTTGTCCTGGCATACCTGCAAGCCAACAGGAGTTAACTGGATTACTCAGAGTCTATTCAGTGACTCCACATATCCTGATCTCTTACCTAGATAAGCCAAGGGCCTCTGTGAGGCAGACATGCACTCTGAGGGCAGAGCTGGCCTTGGCAGGTCCCCTTCAATGGCAGCAGGCCAGAAGAGCCACTGGAGGATCCCAAATCAGCAGTTAAAAACCGCCTCCAGCACTTCCCAACACACTCACTCTAACTGTGCCGTCTGAGAGGCAGAGCTGGGTGTGAGACTTTTCCTCCACTCTCCTGGGTTTGCCAAAACTAATCTGAAACCTATTTTGCTTAAACTAAATCCCTCTAGTCTCAGTAACTCCAAAATCTCTCAAGAAAATCTGTCCTGCTGCTGAAGTTTTCTGATGTTTAGAAAGTTTTCCCTATGTCAGAATCAAGTTTCCACCGGTGCACCCTGCCTGCTCTGTCACCACAGGTCATGGAGAAGAAACCAGTCCCCTACTTTTGCTATACCTTTATCTATCAAGACTATTGCCACCTTCCCTTTTCATTTTCTACTTTTTAAATTCAATCTTGAATTGAATACTCTTTACTTTTTTTCCCTAGATCTCTGAATGAAGTTTCCTCTGTACATTACGCACTATCAGCATGGATCAACATAACCTCTTACCCTACCTGATTACTGAGGACAAATTCCTGAAAGCAATAGCAAGTAAGCACATAGCCATGGAAAAAAAAACCAAAACAAAAAACCAAACACCACATTTTCCACTGTAAAGCTACAGGTAAACTCTGCCTTTGAAAAGAGATAATGATGAACATATTTTCAGACAATACCAAGAATCATGGTGTTACATTCCATTTGTATTGGAATAGTTTTCTTACAGGTATGTGCATTTGCACACATCTATGATTTATATAAGAAAGAGCTGAGGATTTTTTTATTATTTTTTTTTCCAAAAGGGTTTCACAGGAAGTGAGATTGGGAATCAGAAAGCAGAATCAATTTTTCCTTTACACGAAATATCAGTTTGGGACCTTGTGAAATGTAGTTTATGGCAAACATACCAGCCTTCAGGCTTGTATGGATGCAGCATAACTTTTTTTTTTTTTAGCTTTAGTTCTTCCCTTGTGTTCTCACCATCACAAAATTAGTCACAGTCACATCATTTCACTGATGTCTTGTGTTATTGAAGCCATGGTTCCCTGAGCATTTCTCATAGGGCTAGGAATAATTGCTGCTCTCATACCATTAAATCCACTTATGAGGTTGGTGACATTTCATTCCTAATTCTTGTGATCCAATCCTCCTCTTTGTGAAGACTCTCCACTGTAATAGTAAAACCTGAGGGAAGGTGGTATAAACACCCAGATTCATGTTTCAGACACCTTCTTCCTGAAGTGTTTGTGTAGCACTTTACAATAACCTGCTCTTCCATTAGATGTCCTCAAAAAAATAAACTTGAAAAAAACAATGAGGGTGGTATGAGGGACTGAAAAACCTTCCCTTTTTCCACATTCCAGGAATTGGCATCTTTGATCTGAAGTGCCTGTGTAATGCAGGTTGACTCCAGAGAGGATGCTTGAATGGCTTCTAATTACAGCCTTTGGAAAGCTTCTAGGGAAGCTGGGGCAGCCAGAAGGTTTGAAGCACCGAACAGGCCTCATCTGAAGAGCCTTCTTTCTGTATTTATACTTGTAACCCTTTAACATGCCCATAGGACAGGCATCAGGCATTCAGCTTCTTTTTTTTTATGTCATTCTTAAAGCAACAAAACATGAGGCATCACTCTTTCAGTAAAAGCACTTACCAGCATAAGGCATCTTCCCATAGGTGATTATTTCAAACAGAAGTATTCCAAACGACCAGACATCTGACTTAACACTGAATTTGTTGTAGTGGATTGCCTCCGGGGCTGTCCATTTCAGTGGGAGTTTTGTTTCAGCTCTAGATTCATATATATTTTCACTTTCTACCTGTCACAGGTAAAACAAAGCAAGTCTGGTTTCGGATCTGCTTCAGCAAAGCACTTAAGCACCTGAGAAAGCTAAGCAAGTGTTCAATCTCTTCTAGCCTAGCACCAGCCTTTCATGGTATTAAAGCACATACTTAATGAGTCTATTGTTGAATTGGGCCTCACAGTTGAGAAATGCTATCTATCTTTCATCAGAGACTTTCCTAAAGCATTTATCATTTCGAGTGACGATGTAGTGTTGGAGTGGTTTGTGATTAATTATGACCTGCTACTGTGAATTCTGGACCTGGCATGCAAGATTTCAAAAGTCTGTCAGGAGTGGCAGTATAAGCACCCTGCTGAAACTAGAGACCAAATGGCTTCAGGTCTGGTCTTCAGTAAACAGAGAAGGCAGGAGCAAGAGCTGATGAATTTCAGAACTCCTCTTCTATGATTTATTGCAGTGTTGAAGGGCCATTGACTTTGATAACAATCACTTAAGCAGGTTTTGCCAACCAAAGAACAAACTCTAAGTGATTCAATTAACATATTAGCATACAGTGGGTCCAATTAATTAATGTAAAATGAAGATGAAAGACACATAGAAAAAGGAAAATTATTTACTTGCAAAATTTTGGAAACATGTCTTGGGCTTTACAACCCAGACATCTGAACTTTGTGAACATTTATTCTCTCTTGAATTCCTAAATCTAAGTTAGTGTACATCAGTCTCATCTAAGCCTTGGTTAGGCTTTTCACATGCAAATCCAGGTGAATGTGTACAAGATTTTATTTTTAAATTGCTTTTAAGGTACATTTCCCAGCAGTAATGCCCTATAGTTTTGAAAAGACTGGTTGTTAGTGTTCTGTATCTACATATTGATATAGTTGGCATCTTAAGCATAATACTCAACTCTAGCAACAAAAAATTATTTCATTATGCTAATCAATGAATAGAGAAATACAGATTTAATTTCTCACACCTACTCCTTTGAGATCTTTCCATGTGACCATGTTAGTGCTTTGGCTAAGGAGAGCTAATATTCCTAAGAAAATCTGTCAAGATGACTCTATGACAGAGAATATTAGTGAAGTGCAGCTTTAACAAGAAAAGTCAACAGCTGCAAATTATTACCCTCTCTAGTGAGGAGAGGAGAAATATCCATTGTAAGCATTGTTCATTTAAAAATACATATTTTTCATGTTAAAGAATGTGCAATCAGAACTTATGCATAGCTAGAAGAATCAAAATTAAGCAAAAAGCACTTTCAAAGTCCCTTGATGCTACTGTCAAGCCATTTTTCTATACTTCAGTATGTAATAAATCCAGCTCTGTCATGAACTTCAATTTCTGCTGCTTGAATGGAAAGAAAACAAACGAGAACCAGAAGGATTTTTTTCTGTTTTTCCTTCTCAGTGCAAGAACATAAATCAATAAAAAGAGTAAGGCCTCAGAAATTACAGATTACATATTGAAATCCATAAAACACGGCAAATCAAGTCTTTCCAAGTCTAATAAAATAATTTCCAGAGGTAAGAAAAATCACTTCTAAACCACAGCTCCTTCCTGGGGCTATCTTGGTCAGCCTTACTTGGCATTCTACATCCCCAAGGGCTAGAGAAAAAACAGCAGCACAATGGCAAAGAATTTGAAACTGTGTCAGATTTAAAGCTCTGGGAGCTCAGTTTATGAACTCTGCTATTAGTCGCAGAGAGAATAAGGTTCTTTTATGATTACTACCTGCACTCGCAAGTATCACAGAGGCAGTGGGGAAGTGAATAAGGAGAAAATAGCTGTCAATACATTTTTATATGCCTTGCCTTACAGGCTTAGGAAGATAGTTTTGCCATCAGTCCTGTGATCTCTCTCCATGTGGCAAACACTAGTGTTGTGGATAAAGGTTGTGCAGCAAAGGGTATTTCTTGCCAAGATCTTTCCTTGGTGGCTGAGTGGAAAGCAGACAACTGGATGTCATCTTCAGACTGACATAAAGGTACAGGTCAGCTTCTAACATTGCATGGGCTAATGCAGGTAGAGGACACAAGTGAACAAGTTAGGTGTCCTTTTCTCCCTGTGCATGCTTTTTGCCCAAATCCAGCAATTCAGAGGCTATATTTAATCCTTTAGTTGACATCTTCCACCTTGCTCCCCAGAGTTAAAGTAGAGCCAATTCACCCGCTCACAACTCACCTTAAAAACTCTCGCAAGTCCAAAGTCTGCCACTTTATAAACACTGTGTTCACCAACAAGAACATTCCTGGCTGCCAGATCCCGATGGATATAGTTCTGGGATTCCAGGTAGGCCATTCCAGAAGCCACCTGAGCAGCCATGTCTACTTGTTGTGGCAAGAAGATTTGGGAGCCTGCATCTTCTGTTTAAAAAGAAGACAACAAGGATAACATAATATTTATGATATTCATATACAAATATCGTAACAGCTGACTGGTTCCAACAGCTAACACAAATCAACAATGCCACATGATACAATAAAGGAACAGCTCGACCAAATGACAGAGGTTAGTGAATGACACTATTTAAAGTCATGCAGCAAAAGTCATCACAACGGAGTAACAATGCCTGTCCCATCTAAAAGTAGCAGCTGATCTAAGCCCAGAAGGAGCTGCTGACAAATTCCAAAGAAAAGGACATTTATCTACTGTTAGTAAAGCAGATGTTTGGTTTCCAACAAGTACATAACCAAGAGGGAAGGGATGCCATCCAGAGGGACCTTGACAGGCTGGAGAGGCGGGCCAATGCCAACCTCATAAAGTTCAATAAGGCCAAGTGCAAGGTTCCGCATCTGGGTTGGCACAACCCAACATAAATACAGGCTGGGGGGAGAATGGTTAGAGAGCAGTCCCAAAGAAAAGGACTTGGAGGTGGTAGTAGATGAGAAGCTCAACATGAGCCACCAGTGTGCACTTGCAGCCTAGAAAGCAACTCCATCCTGGGCTGCATCAAAAGAAGTGTGGCCAGCAGGGCCAGGGAAGTGATTCTGCCTCTCTACTCTGCTCTGGTGAGGCCCCACCTGCAGCACTGTGTACAGTTCTGGTGCCCTCAGCACAAGAAGGATATAGACCTGTTGAAGAGGGTCCAGAGAAGGGCCACAAAGATGATCAAAGGGCTGGAGCACCTCTGCTATGAAGACAGGCTGAGAGAGTTGGGGCTGTTCAGCCTAGAGAAGAGAAGACTGTGGGGTCACCTTAAAGTGGCCTTCCGGTACCTGAAGGGGGTCTACAGAAAAGCTGGGGAGAGGCTTTTCATCATAGAAGATGGTGATAGGAGAAGGGGTAATGGTTTTTAAGTGAAAGAGGGGAGATTTAGGTTAGATATTAGGAAGAAATTCTTCACTATAAGGGTAGTGAGGAACTGGAATGGGTTGCCCAGGGAGGTTGTTGCCCCATCCCTGGAGGTTATTAAGGCCAGGTTGGATGAGGTTTTGTGCAACCTGATCTAGTGATAGGGTTCCCTGCTCACGGCAGGGAGGTTGGAACTTGATGATCTTTAAGGTCCCTTCCAACCTTAATGATTCTATGATTTCAAACTGTAAATGTTAATGTCAGTACTCACTGGGCGCAGCCAAAGCCGAACAAAGATGGAAATGGACAAAAGGATCTCCAAGGATTCTTACTAGGAATATACCATCTGCTGTCAAGTGTAACTCCACTTTTCACTTTCCAGTCCATTTCAGATGGATTGCTTCATGTTGCTATCTCTGTTGCTGCTACTCAACAGTAGGACTCCTTGTTCTGCTTTCAAGCTGCCTGCTTCTCTCATAGAACATTCTGAATCTATGTGCATTGGAATTCCCACCACTGTAAGATCAGCAAGTCCCAGAAATAGAGATTTGGTGATCACAGACTGGTTGTTCAAAGAAAGTAGTAGAACTTTAAGCACAGCAACTTGCCTTCACACATGAAAATAGTAAGACATATGAAAATAGTAAGACAGGTGCCCTGCCCCCCCATCTTTGTGTCAAAGAAATAAAATATTTTAGATGGCGGTTTCTTATTTTAAATTGATTCACAGTGAAAGTCAGTCTTAGCTTTGGTTTGCATAGCCTCCTCCAGTTCTGGTATTTTCATAGAATCATAGGATGGTTTGGGTTGGAAGGGAACTAGAAGATCACCTAGTTCCACCCCCCCTGCAAGGGCAGGGACACCCTCCACTAGACCAGGATGCACAAAGTCTTGTTCAACCTGGCCTTGAACACATCCAAGGAGGGGGCATCCGCAACCTCTCTGGGCAACCTGTTCCATTGCCTCTCCACCCTAACAGTAAAGGATTTCTACCTAACATTGAACCTAAATCTCCCTTCTTCCAGTTTAAAACCATTACCCGCTGTTCCATCACTACATGCCCTGGTAAAAGCCCCGCCCCAGATTTCCTGTAGGCCCTTCAAGTACTGGAAGGCTGCTATAAGGTCTCCTTGGAGCCTTCTCTTCTCCAGGCTGAACAGCCCCAACTCTCTCAAACTGTCTTCATAGCAGAGGTGCTCCAGCCCTTGTATTACCTTCGTGGCCTCCTCTGGACTTGCTCCAGAATTAGACACAGTACTCCAGGTGGGGTCTCACAAGTGCAGAGAAGAAGGGCAGGATGACCTCCTGACCTTGCAATCATTCCTTGTGAAAGGTGTGAAATTCTGTTTTTTACTAATCTCTTCTGCAGTCTCCAGGCTTGAATTTCCTGTTTATCTGGATGTTCTGAGATTAACAGGTAAAACAATCTAATTTTAAATTATTAAATTTACCCTGTATGTGTATTGTCCTACTTCCTTTTTGAGGCTAAACTCATTGTAATGATAATTCAGCACTAATATTATTTACTTCTATTGTTGACTCAGAAAGTCTTTCTCTCACACACATATGTACAATAGTTGCCTTGACCTTTGAAAGAAAGAGGGAAAAAAATCAGTCTATGTTAAAATCTATGGATTAACCATCAAGAAAATCCATCACCAGGCCACAGAATAATATAACACTCTGAAGTTTTGCAGTTCTGATAACAGGGAAACCTCAACATTTATTATTCAGCTTGCTGGACAAAGATGTAGATCAAAAAATGACACTTATGTTGTATTTAATAAAAAAAAAACTATATCTGTACAATCACCTTGCCTGAGTGCCTGAGCTTTGGAAACTAATTTGTGTAATTCGGTTTAAAATCCCTCAGCTCATCAGGAGCTGAAAGCTGCACAAAGACAGAGGATGAAAGCACAGAGTTCTTTGGGATCGGATGTGAAAATCATGCATGGTTGTCTCATAAAGATTCCTAAGTATACCAAAATCCCAGACTGGGCCAGCCAAAGTACACAAGTTCAACCACAGCACTGCATTAGTACAACTACAGAGATTTCCAAACCAGAGGCAGCTCCCACCTGGCTGGTTCAGAGAAGGTTGGAAGAGTTTACCCCTTTATTCATATGGGTACACATGTACTTTAGTTTGTTTTAAAGTGTTTTGAAGAAAGAAAAAATACAACAAAAAATCCAAAATTAATATAACTTCCCCACTGCAAACCAGGCACTACATGAGAATTTATAAAACCTTCCCATAGCTTATTGTTTCTCCTATAAAGAAAATGTAGTGCCTCCATGTCTTTTTTCATTTAGTTTTTTTTTTTACAAAACTATCACCCTTATATGAAAAATTTATTAGAGAAAATATTAAAGAAAGCTTGGGCTCTGCACCCTGTTCTAAGGAATCAATCACAATATCTCATATAGGAAAGACAGAAAAATATTTTCATTGACAGATGCCTGACAATAAATAAATAAATGAGCAAGTAGCACTTTCCTCAGTTGAGAGCATTGCCTCTGTAATAATTCGCTAAACTTCAGGACTGTGTCCCTGTCGGGACAAGCCCAAGGTCTGTCAGAATTGATAACAACACTCACACTTTTATGACAATTTCATTCACATCCAATAACAAAATTTTCAGTAGCTTTTCAGTAACTTTTTTCTCATCTTGGTCGCAGCTCAATAACTCTGCATAGCAGTGTTCAACAAGAAGTACATTCACAGGGTGCACAGGGAACTCACATGCTTATCATTATTAAGTAGCCGTCATTTTGGTGGAATGCTATAGTCACTTTGCATGAAGTATCAGGGCTTTATTAAACCTGGAAAAACATATTATGCATTTCTGGGAGGGGAAACTTAACCAAAGAATGATCTCTGGACTTCCCCTCTGTGCCAGTTTGCCATATTTACCTACAGTGCACACAGAGACTGCAGCCTTCTGGAAATGTTTTCCTAGCTCCTGCAGTAGCAGAGCCTCAAGTAAGCTCATCAAGGGCTGTGCACTGACTGCCAACCAATACAGATCACTTCCAGTCACAGAGCTGACAGCACTCACTCTCATAGACAGGAACAACTTTTTCTCCGACCTATAGCTATCAAAGGATCTCTACCTCCACCCCTCATTTCTATGTATCTATCCCCCTGTGCATAGGCCATCAGACAAGGAGAGATACCACTAGGCTTCAGTGGTTGAAACCACCAGGTTTCAACTGGCCTTTTTTAGTTACTGTGACAGCTGCCTGGAAACCAACTGGCTTTCACGGTCTCTCTGAGATCTACACAGAGGCTGCAGTGCTGATGTGCCCTGCACATGTTGTACTCCATGCACAAACAAGACAATTTTCACTTCTGCAATAGCTGTGACTCATCCTGGCTTTTTCAAAGCAATTTCTCCAGTGTAATAAATGTTTTCATGCACAGCAATCATTGCCTCATGTGCCAGGCTCTTTCAATCATATAAGCAGCAATCTGCACACAAAGGCACCAGAGATGAGAATTTAAAGGAAATTTGTGCCTCCCTATCCCTGGTCACTAAATGCCTACAAAACTGTGAGCAATCTGGCCAAAGCTCGTTGCAGCCCCTCTCTGCACAGATCCTGGTGGGGCTGTCCCTCTACCAGAGATGCCTTTAGCTGTAATTCTCCCTGGACTGAGCCTCTCTTAAGAAATGGTCCCACAGAGAAAACGGGGGAAAGAATGTGCCATGGTAAATAGTGCCTGAGGTATTTCACAGAGCTTTGCCTTATGGGCTGGAGACAGAGAAGAAATTTAGGACGATGATCACAGCAAATATTTTGTCTTCAAGAGACCATTACAGCTTTACAGAAACTTAGCATCTCAGAGACATTTGCCAAACTGAAAATGGATAACAACAGTAGAATCAAGCATTTCTCAATAGCAGGGGTGCAATCATTATGCTAGTTTGTCCCACACTATACAATTTTATTTTTAATTATTACTCACTTTCAAAAGAGCACTTTGAAGTGCTGCTAAGATAAAAGCCCTGATACGATAGGCAAGGGACAAATACACAGTGAAAAGCTATTTCTGCCTAGTAATAGATCTCAAAGCCGTTAAGTACATTTTGTGGAAGTGCCTCTATTTCATGTCAAATATGATGACCTATCCTTCTGGATGCTTATATTTTTATACTGTCAGTGTATGTTCCCAGCTACTCATAGAACTGGGTGGAAAAATGTGGGGTACTATAAGGCAAGAATCAAACTGTGAATGTGATTGTCTTCTCAAATACTTTGGCACGTCAAAAATTCATAATCCTCTTTCCTCTTTTCACATCCTCATGCATGAAAAATAATGTAGCTTTTATATTAAACCACAATGTTAGTGTATTTACTAAACTGACAGCTGTAGCACCCCTTGAAATGAGTTTATACTTATTTGCTTACTTTGAAGGTATTCTAGAAGACTCCCATATCTCATCAGCTCAGTAATAATATAAATTGGGTCCTCCAAAGTACAGACAGCATAAAGCTGTATAAGCTTTGGATGTCTCAAATTCTTCATTATTTGTGCTTCCCTCAGAAAGTCCTTTGGATCCATTGAACCTAAAACAACAGAATTGAACAAAACATAAGCTGTGGTTATTAAAGGCCTTCCTACCAGCCTGGCAGTCTTAGGGGAATTACTGAGATACTGTTTTCTGTCTTTCAAAATGCAATAGCATCTCATATCTTCACAGTTCCCACAGAAAACAGACAGTGCAGCTGAAATATACAGTTAATGAGTGAAACGTGGCAGTTGTACAGGGCAGAGAACATATGTGTTCCAGCCACCAGAAATATAAAGGCTAAAATTAACCATCCCCCAGGACTCCCCCGAATAGGGGAAAAAAAATAAAAAATAAAAAAAATAAAAAGTGAGACTAGAGTGTTAGCTGCTATAATCTAAGCAAACAACTATGTTGCAACTGGTTAACAAAGTGACCAAAAACTGAGGCAGGAGTGCTCAGGTAATGAACATAAAATTTCTCACAGAAAAACATGTTGCAGTAAGAATTTGTTGCACCATTTTTGAGCTTCAGCAATCACAGCCTGAAAGCATTGAAATCACTTTAGCATATTAGATGTGTGCATTTTATATACATAAATGCAAGTAACTGTTTATAATGTTCACATAATAGCAACCTTATCAGAAATACCAGTGTATGCACAGATGTAACAGTAATCCTACACTCTCTTAAATGCAGAAATATCTTTACAGCTAATAATCCTAACTTTTTAAACTGTTACATAAGGTCATAATATCTCTAGTTCTATTAATATACGCAGCGAGTCAAAGCACAAACTGACAAAGAAACAATACAGAAATGGCACAAGGAGCTAAAGTTAGTGGCAAATACAGAATTAGCATTCATATGTCCTGAATAGGGGATTGACTAGAAAAAACATGCACAAGTAAAGAAAAGCTTCTTATTGAATGATCCAGTAGTGATCAGATACTCTCAGATGTCTGAGGAAGATGGTAAATAACCCCTACTTTATAATACTTGCACAAAAGAAATGTGAAATTATCCAACTACTCAAATGTTTCCCTTCTCCCATATCAAAATAGTTTCATTAAGAAAAGATTACACTGAAGGTTTGGGGTAAGTCTACCCAAGTTTAGTCTGCTCTATGCCATGTTTAAAAACAAACTCTTCTCTTAGTGTAAGCAGACCGAGTCATTTGAGAAGCCAAGGCTGCAGGAGTATGAGTCTTTATGTTTTTTTAACATTAGATAATCAAAAAGGTTCACTTGGGAGTTTGGCTCTGTTCCAAACATGGATGTTTAAATGAAGCAAAATGCTGGGTGGATGCTAGCTGGCTCAGCAATGAAATTCCACCAGAAAATCTGTGCTACAGAATGAACTGGCAAATCACTCTGGGCCAACTTCACCCAACACCTACCTTGAATGTCACCTCCTGAAAAGTGCTTCAGCCTACTTCCCAAAGCAGCAATAATGTGTGATTTCATACCCTTGCATTAATGCAAGAGAAATGACTCAGAAGTACTTCTGACATAGACTTCAAGAAAAAATACCCACTTGACATTGCAACTTGTGGAAGCAAAGGTTATTGCAACAGACAGGTGCTCCTCTCCCCCATGTCCTTATACTTTCCTTGGCAATCCCATGGGATCCAATTTGACAGTACTTTATAGGAGGCCATTAGGAGGGATAGTAAAGTTAATGGATTTCCATGAGATCAATAAATGGATAGCATCCAATAATGCATATCCTGAACAGGTACAGGCTATACCCATTACCTTTTTTCATTGTCAGAAGAAAGCGGGGAACTACTTGTAAAGTAAATAACTCATACTTGGTCTGGATAAAACAGAGATGACACATGGAAAAACCCAAATATCTGTAACGGTATGTTTTTCTCCTGTTTAAAGCAGCTCAATCATTACAGCTTTATTTCAACTTTACACCAATCTTTTTTTTTTTTTTTTTTTTTAAAAAAAAGCCTCAGGTTAAACTCATTATATTATTTATAGGATTTGGACTCATTTTGGTACTGGTTTAATACTGCAGTCCATTTGCTTACTTTTTTCAAGATGTATGTATTTGTAGGAGAAAACATCATTAAGTCTACAGAGAAGCTGCATGCTATGAATTATTTTTCCTCTAAAAGTAAATGCATAAGCATGAGTGGTGATTTAGCATTAGTACCAAAATTTGAGAAGTTGATCCTAAAAAGGATAAAGTATTTGCTAACTTGTGGTCTACCAAATCACCTGCTCTCTAAGGATTGTTATATAAGGTTTCTTCACACCACAGAAAATGACAGTCTGATTTGTTCCCATTATCAAAGTTTGCCTACAAGGAATCTCTCAGTTTAATCATGCTATAAGCTTCTTCCAACAAACTGAAATCAAGCAACACATTTTTCACATATGACAACTTTCAATAATAAGACCAGGAGGAAAATATTCTATTAGCTGTATAGCAGCGAATCCTCCTTTATGCTGTGAAAGTAATAAAAAATATTAACTATATTAAACCAAACACAAAGATCAATAAGTACTTCTTACATATTTTAAAGAGCAAATGTAACCTTCAGTTTTACTTAGTTTATATCTTCAAATAGCAAAAGTAGCAGATAGTGCCCATCCCCACCTCCTGGAGCCCTCTAGCTCTTGTACTGCTAGTGGATCAGATGCTAATTGAAAAAATGAAGCAGTGCCTTTATCAGTGTTTTGTCAAAGATTAGGTTTTTGCAACTAGATAAGCAAAGTAAAAACTGCCTCTAAAAACATGCAAACATGCTTGACACAAATTAATTATTTAAAGCCTGTCACAACAGTGGCAGAGAAGTTAGAACACATTTATTTGAGGAAGTTTATATAAATAAATAACTAAAATATATGCCACTTGGAGTTTCAAATAATATTTTGGGGTTTGGTTTGTTGTTGTTTTTTGCAGTTGAATTACATGTGTTTTAAATGAAGGGCAGGCTACTGCCAGTAGAAAAAAATATTTTAAAAATATCATAAAAAAACCTAGTTAACAGCCTTTTCTAAAACAAGTATCCTTCATGTAATACATCAGTTTGGAAGTAGATTGATCACTACTTGAAGAAAATACTGGGTTGATACTTTGTTTTTTTGAATGGAATCTATTTTTGTAGATATTAACATCCTTAAGAACAAAATGTTGGAATATGTTTCCTTAAGGTGTGTTCTACCATGTTCTGTTTTGCCAGAAATCACCTTTAATTTAAGCCTATTTAAAGCAGGTATCTCAGCTGTGATTACTCTCTTTCTGAAAATATTTTGTTCTGGTATTGAGGGAGCTTCACATCATGAGATAAACACTGGTAATTTGGCAATGAGCTAGAGAGGAAGGTCAGTTATATTTATGTAGTTTCCACTGTCCTAAGTGTAAGCAGTCTTTCAATATTTTATTAGTGCCTCCAGGGACCCTTTGTTTGCAACTTTCAATAAACCTTCCCAAATGACTTCAAAGTAACCTTGTACTTCAGAGCAACCTTGTCTTCTGAATAAGTTTATACAAAATGAACTTGTGTATAGAGTACATTTAGCACATACTGTGAGCTTCTGAATATGTTTATGTGTAATAAAGAAATAACATTTAAAAGACCAAGTTTTTTGCAACACATGAGACTGTAAAGTATTCACATCAACAGGAGAGTGAGATATATATCTGACAATCCTCAAGCAGCTTTCTCACCATAGAGAAATGAACTTACAAGTTAGATTAACATTATGTACTGAATTAAATAGAATTAAATAATTATTTTGTTCAGGGAAACTGGGAGACTTTCCTCAGTGCAAAGCTTTATACACTGCATATGCACTAAAGAGATCACATATTGAAGAACTGAAAATATTATTAAAACCTCCACTAACAGTACCAACCCAGAGACTATTTTGAGAAAGTGTCCTCAAAAAAAAATAATCATGCTTGGGCAGCTTCCATGTGAAGAGAGAAGCTTGGGAGATGCTTTACAATATGATAATGACAAATGCATCTGTCAACTTGAACTCTCAGATAAGATTAATTGGTGATGATAGATGTCTGCTTTACATACTGATAGTTGGAGAGGCAAGTTAGCCCAGACAATAGGTTCTAGAGAATCCATCACACTCAGCATAGGAGAAAGGGTAAATGATTTCCACTTAAATAAATAAAAAAACAAAAATTAGAATTAAAAAAAGCCTCAGTGAGGAAATAAATACAGAAATGTGAAATTACATGTTCAGGGACTTGCAGCAAGACAGTGGTGTGAAGAGCCAAGAACAGAAGCAGCAATTGCTGGCATCTGGCCATTTTCTTACATGCTGATCCCTACACCTCTTTCATGTCTGTCTGTCAACAACTCAAAAGTCAGAGATGTTCCTTAAGGCAAAGATATTCTTGTGTTTTGTTTTTTTTCATTCAGACATCCATCACTATGTTTTTGGCTGGTAAAATGTCACCAATGTCTCCAAAGCGAATTCAAACAACAATGACCAACTAAGAGAATGATGTGAATAAAGACATCACATTACTACTTCTTTTTTATCATAGTCACAGGGCTAAACACATTGTTTCAACAAGTTCTATAGTTCTGTACCTTGTAGCCTAGGAGCCATACATTTTAATCACTGTGACCTAGAAATGCTAATGTGCATTCAACTTTCAAACCCAGATGGAGTGTCTTCAATGCACTGCTGAAATATTTAAACAACTCACTGCCAGAAGCTTGAAGAAGGCTGCCATTGGATCATGCACTGCAGTTCTTCAGCACAGGAGGGATGGCTCCCAATTACGTACCTGTCTATTTCCTGTGGAAAAACTGATTCTCATAGTGTAGTCGACACAATAACAAACCCATACAGCTTAATTTTTTCACCTGTTTCCTAAAGTAATTCTGTACTCAGTCATGCCCCTACAAAGCTAGGAACTTATGTTTCCTTCAATATTAGATTTACTGCATTAGATAAAGGGTTTTACAGGCATCTGAAAATGCATTAATGAGATTCTACACTGAAGAAGTATTATTTTTAATGTAAACACGAATTTGGGACAGCATATATGAGAGTATTAAAACAAGGCAGC